TTAAAAAGTACTTTCACCAAAACCGCAAAGAACTCCGCCACTCAGAATGATTTAAATGTCTAATTAAAACACATTAATATAACATTTGCTTTTTGATACTACATTTTTAACAACAACATCTGCCAAGAAGTGCTTGGAAGTGCTCCAATCTGGAGCGCTGAATCCAGTGTCAAAACAAGCCATTGTGAAGGATATCCTTCATAAAATGAACAATAACACTGTTTTGATTTTTCACTCTGGCTTTTTTGTTCCCTCTTTCTCGTGCACTGAATAAAAATGATCAGAGTGGCTGTGCCATGCAGTTTCACAGTTTGAAGAAAACAATTTACGCCTTCACGCATTTTTCATTTCAAAATTCCTCACTTTTCCAGAGTCAAATTTCCATCTGCAGATTTTTCAGACATTATTTAACATAAATGGTTCATACAGCATCATTTTAGCATTATATTTGCTATATAGTACAGTCGCCTGTAATATATATAAATCTGATCAGATTTTTGGTAAAGCCAAACAGTTAAAAGTGCAATTAAAAGTGTGCCTTGAAATCATTGAATTCATTCATTTTCTATTGGAACAAAGAACACAAAGTTATCATGGATACTACAAAATCAGACAGTATTACAAAATAATTCCAACATCTTGGTATACGTTATCACACTTTCCTCAATGGTTTACATACATAGTCAATTTTCCCCAAAACTTGTTACATTTGTCAATTTTAGTCACGATATTCGATTAGTTAACGGACTCAGAAAGCCACAAAAGAACTGGCAAAAATAACGAATGTGTCAAATATAGCCTTTTTACTTGTTTATTAATAAACTACTGTTTTTTTTGTCATTCTTGACTGAAAAGATGAAGTTGACTATGCAGTAGTGTTGTTTTTGGCGGCCTGTTTTAGTCTAGTCTTTGTGTCAAGCTGACATTTTAGTTTTTGTTAGTTTTAGTCATGTTCATACTCTTTTTAGTCTGGTCTAGTTTTAGTCGTCGAAAACGGATGACATTTTAGTCTAGTTTTAGTCGACGAAAGACATAGTCTAGTTTTAGTCGACGAAAGACATAGTCTAGCTTTAGTCGACGAAAGACATAGTCTAGTTTTAGTCGACGAAAGACATAGTCTAGTTTTAGTCAATGAAACTTTGAAACAACTTTTTAGTAGGCAATTCTATTTAACCCAATACAAGAAGCCTACCTAGTAGTAGGCTAGCCTATAGACGAAACCAATTTTTTTCTTTTAGCCAAACCCATTTCAAACAATCTTATCTTCTAATAGTCATCTTCTTATATTATTGTTACCTTATAGACTCAAGAATGATTCCAGGAAGACGCTCTGAATTGAATTTACAACACATTTATTTTACCAACCAAACCTGTTAGTAGCCTACACACATGATGAAATGAAAGTTTTTCCAAATGTCATTTTTTCTTTTTCTCCCAAAGACGAACCCCTTTCTCTGCGTCAGACTTAACTTTGTTTGTTGTCGTTTATGCTAACGCCTCTTTCACACATACTCCATTTGCAGTGCGTATTTTTCCCGCACCCATACAGTTATAACAGTTATAGATTAGCGCTCATACCGCGCGCTCTGGGAGCGGTGCGTGCATAACAGCAGAGCAGAGATCTACACAGTACCTCAACAACGCGACACAATGGATGTAGGCTAAAATACTGATTTGAAATAAAAAATAGAGGATAAATGTTGTGATTGTGGTACAGCCGTAGATCAGTTGCGCACTGCAAACGCAGCACATGTGAATGCAATAACGCGCGCTGCTCCTGCATACACACTGCAACACGCACCGCATACACGCTGCACACGTGTGTGAAACAGCTGTAACTCACCCAACTGCTTCTTCTAAATAATGGAAACAGAAATGCTGCATACTAATAATGCAAGTAGGCTAAACGAGACGAAATAACGTAAAATAACGTCTCGTCTCGTTTTGGTCAACGAAAATGAAGAGACATTTTAGCATAGTTTTTATTTTTGTAAACCACATTTAGTCTCGTTTTTATTCGTCAACGATATTGCATTATACATTTAGTTATAGTCATCGTCACACGACCAGCATTTGCGTCTCGTCTCGTTTTCGTCACGTGATAAAGGTTCGTTGACGATGATATTTAGTCATAATTTTCGTTGACGAAAGCAACACTACTATGCAGACTCGCCACTTCGCAGTAGGCTATTGTGAACGCGCCTATGGATCATACGGATTAGGATAAGAGAGAGTTATTTGTTTTTCAGACAAGTGCAAGTGCATTTACGGGAGGGGGACGAGTGGGACACTTTTTGCCAGGGTCGATTTTATTTCTACAAAATAAAAGTGGAAATCAAGGGTAACTCGGGAATGATGTCATGGATAAAACTGCTTATTAGAAACATCTGGGATAATGTAAGTACAACGCTCTAGTGGTTTTTGGACATTTTTAGATCCAAAAAATCTTACATAGTGTGCCTTTAATACATGTTAGGTCCAATTCTGAGACACACACTGTCCCTGCCATCCACTGACACACTCCTCTCTTCCAGCTCCCTGATATTAAATGTCTCACATCCTCTGTTATCATTATACTGCAATTATCTCAGCACAGCAGGAACAGTGTGCCCTACATGTCACAGTCACCAACACACACCCACAGGCCGCGGGAGAGTGTGTCCTAATCTAATTTCAGACCATGACGAGATAAATTGGGATTGTCCCATTGTTCTGTGCATTGAGACTCTGCTCTGAACAACACGTGTGTAATAGACGTGCACAGACTAGGGGTTTCATCAACTAGTCGACTGTCACAACCACTAGTTGGCGCTGTTGGCCTTAGTCGACTAGTTGGAAACAAAATGCTGACATATATAGATATTTATTTTGTGAACTAAGCGGCAGTACTATATACTATAAGCACTATAAGGCGCACCTTCAATGCCCTATTTTAGAACATTTTTCAAACGTTTGACTGGGTTTGCGTTATGCATCCACTAGATGTGCTAAAGGGAATGCAGCGAGTGTGCGGCGTTTATTTAGTAAGCGTGAGCGCGCTGGGGCGGGCACGTAACTTACATTCGCAGCCTGACTCGCTGACAGCTGGCTGTTTTGAATGAGACGACCCGGTTACTGTGAACGGAGAGCGCTTTATGCACATTCTGTGACGCGCGAGCAGCACCGGGGACAGTGTGTGTGTTAAAGGAGTAGTTCACTTTTAAAAAAACTTTTGCTGATAATTTACTCACCCCATGTCATCCAAGATGTCCATGTCTTTCTTTCTTCAGTCGAAAAGAAATTAAGGTTTTTGATTAAAACATTCCATGATTTTCTCCATATAATGGACTTCAATGGGGACCAAACGGTTCAAGGTCCTTAAGACAGTTTCAGTGCAGCTTCAAAGGGCTTTAAACGACACCAGACGATGAATAAGGGTCTTATCTAGGACCCTTTGAGTCATGACTCGAAAAAAGATTTGTTAATTTTGATGAACGAGTTTGAACAGGAGAGTCACGAACGCTCATCACAAAACAGAGCAAGGAGAGCATTTGTGCTTATAAAACTAAAACTTTTAAAGTTATTTATTAAAATTTAGCGATTGTTTGCTAGATAAGACCCTTATTCATCGTCTGGTGTCGTTTAAAGCTGCACTGAAACTCTCATTTGGACCTTGAACCATTTGGTCCCCATTGAAGTCCATTATATGGAGAAAATCCTGGAATATTTTCCTCAAAAACCTTAATTTTCTTTTCGACTGAAGAAAGAAAGACGTGGACATCTTGGATGACATGGGGGTGAGTAAATTATCAGCAAAAGTTTTTTTTTTAAAGTGAACTACTCCTTTAAGAGTGAGAGCTCGTGAGCGGGAGACACACATAACGTGATTTATACGAGGTTGAACTGGCCGTGTGACAAAGCGGGCATAAGATGGACACGAGCGCGAGCAATTAATCCATATATAATGCGCTCCGGATTATAAGGCTTGAGAAAAGGCCGGATTGAGAAAATTAAAGGCTTTTAAGTGCGGAAAATATCGGTGTGCTCTCAGGAAAGCGCACGTTAGAACAGCGCGTGAAAATGTTTAAGCGGCAATGCTTATGCTAATATGAACTTTTGTGAATTGCAGTGTCCCGTACCTATTCCTTAACGTGTGACGTGTAGGCTACGTCGCGTTGTACAGTTGAGGTGTGCGATACCGCTAGATTTGGTATCGATCCGATACCAAGTAAATACAGGGCCAGTATCGCCGATATCGATACTTTTTAATAATTAAGGTGGATGCCTCTTCAACCTAAATCTAAACGAATTTTCATGACTTTTGTTTTTGTGATTTGCATTTTGGGTTATAAATCAGTTAAAATCAGTACTAAAAAAGCTTTTGTTCAGAAACAACTTTTGGTTACTTCTGTTTTATTTAAACAAAGTTACAAAATTATTACTTCACAAATATAAAAAATGTACTGTAAAAACAAATTCTCTTTTCAAGTAGCACGTTAAAACAAAATGTTTGTCTTCTTTAGTGCACTTCTTTTCAGGATTTTTTTCTTTAATAAACAAAGTCACAAGTTCTCCCTCTCTGATTGTGCTGCTGTAGACTAGAAATGCGCGGCCGCGCTCCTGACTGGTGGTAGTCCAGCAGCATTTTGACAAACACGGTCAGGTCGCAAAACGAGAGAAACTGAAAATTAAGTATCGATATTTTCACGTTGGTATCGTTCAATACCGATACCAACGTTGGTATCGATATTATCGATATTAGTATCGATCTCCCCACACAGAGGCGCCAGAACTGATAGAATGCACTGTAACACGATACTACTACCATATTTCTTCAAAAGCAGATCGTGGAGACATTTACTATTCGTGATATTGCACACCCCTAGAATAAACCATTTAACGACTAGTCGACGACTGTTATGCAAAACTAGTTGACTAGCAAAAATCAGTAGTTGTGAAACCCCTAGCACAGACACATACACATGTCTTCTGATGCTGTGTGTGTGTGTGTGTCTAATTACCTGCGTCAGCACTGATGCAACTCTGCTGCATCCGTGCTTTGCTGTCGTCCCATGTCTCCAGGAAGCGAGTTAACTGGCTCTTAACAGTCGACATCTCCCCACGAGACGACCGAAGCAGGACCAGAGCCTCCCTGAGACGCCTCTGCTGCTGTATATACCTCGATCTGACACATACACACACAAGGATTACTCAAAAGATTCAATTTTATACTGAAGAAAACTAAATTTCTTGTGTGCAAGACAATGATACTGGCTCAGGAAAACGGCAACATGGCCATCTAAGCGAAAAAGAGACAAGACGAGAAGAAAAGTGACTACATTAAATATTTGTGTGGCGAAGAGGCGAGAAAAGATTACGTCAAATGTTCGACGAGAACAAAAGAGAAAAGGCGATTTGAGTTCTGCTTGAAGATGAGACACAAGACAAGATGACTAGAAAAGTTGAGGAGATACATTAAACGCTGATGAGAAAAGAAGAGATGAAACGTTTTAGTTCACTTTAAAGAGAATAAAGCGGCGTGACGTTATTTTGAACAAAATCTGGCCAAAGCGAAGTTCGTTTTGAGTCTGTTTTGGGAGTTGGAAACAGCTTGCCAGAGTCAAGACAAGTTTGCTCAATCTGTTGTATAAAGTGCTGTGTAAATAAACGTGATGTGACCTCACTGGAGCGCTCAATGGTACAAACAGAACCACATCACAATCAGATGCTTTCTTAACTGCTGTTTTAATTTATCAATGTCTTACATATTCATCACAACAATATTATTATTATTATATACAATCAATAATAATTGAGTCAATTTTGAAGAGAAGCGACCAAAACGAGAGACGATAACAAATCGAGACGTCGGTGACTTTTTATTGCACATTTTGTTTGTACCTCATGATATTCATGAGAAACGATTGAGATAATAAAGAGGTCTCAGTTAATGAGCCTTTAAAAAAAATCAATGTTGAAATCACTGTTGATTCTGAATCCTCGACGTGCTGTGTGTATTCGTTTTGATCCATTAAAATGTATGTCAAGTCTTTGAACACAAAACTCTAGATACTCAGACATAAGCTTAGATAAATAAAGTTTACAGTTTATGTGTGGGTGGGATGTTTGTCCTCCTGTTCATTTTAAGCTACGTCTCATTTGTTATGAGTTGACATTTTCTTATAATCCTTGAGTGAGCTGAAGGTAAACACATTTGGTAAGCAGCTGTTTATACAGTACACACTAGTGTTGTGATGATCGGGATTAGATGAACATGCTCCTGCTGGACTTTCATTTAGAAATCCATTCATTTTCTGTGCTGTCTTTTTGGCCTCTCGTAGTTTGAGTTTCTGGCTGGGTGTCAGCAGCGGGTGATTTAATGAGGTCTGTAGATTTGAAGAAGTGTGTCGGTTCGGCTGCACTACATCACACACCCCTCTCGTTCCCACCAGCATTACATCATCATCATGAGACAGCGGCTGATAAGAGCTGCCAGAAGTCTCAATGTGGATAAACAGGACGCCAACTCCACACACACACACACACACACACACACACATGACATCTTTTCCGCGACCACACACCAACCATATGTGTATCCATCCCCCCATCCCAGCCTGTCACCACATAAACAAACATACACACTCATCCAGTTGTCTAGCAGTCATGGCAACAGGTAAACATGGCAGTGTTAGGGCGAGACATGGAGACAGACAGACAGTAAAAGAGAAAGAGAGAGAGCGACAAAGTGGGAGATAATCATGGGAATTCATTTTGATAACAAGGGAACAATGAAAAATGGCTATTGTCAAAGGAGAGGAGGCTAAAAGGCAAAAATTACAGTAAAAAGGAATAATGAGAAAGAAAAGATATGTAGGGATTGAGTGAGATGAGATGAGACGAGAAGAAAACAGGAAATTAAGCGAAACTAGAAGATAGGAGACGAGAGGTGGAGATGAAAAGAGGTGAGGAGACGAGACAGTGGATGAAATAAAAGAGGATGAGATGGCATGAGAAGAGATGAGAAATAAAGAGGAAATGAAACAAGACAAGAGGATGAGGTGAAAAGAGAGAAGGACGAATATGAGAGGAGACGCAAGAAAAAAAAACAAGAGGCGTCATGAGAAAAGATGTGAAAATATGAGAAAAAATTAGATATGATGATAGAAACGAGACAAGAAGACGAGACATGGAGACAGACAGACAGTAAAAGAGGCTGAGAAAGAGAGAGAGCGACACAGTGGGAGAGAATCATGGGAATTAATTTTTCATAACAAGGGAACAATGAAAAATGGCTATTGCCAAAGGAGAGGAAGCTGGAAGACAAAAAGAGAATTACAGTAAAAAGGCAAAATGAGAAAGACGAGTTGGGAAGAAATAAGAGAAGGATGAGGTGTAAGAAAAAGAGATGGCATGAGAAGAGATGAGAAATAAAGAGGAAACGAGACGAGGAGATGAAACGAAAAGAGGAGAGGAGATGAAACGAAAACAGGAGACGAGAAAAGAAGAGGAGAGGAGATGAAACGAGACGAGAAAAGAAAAGAAGAGGAGATTAAACGAGAAGAGGAGAGGAGATGAAACGAGACGAGAAAAGAAAAGAAGAGGAGAAGAAACGAAAACAGGAGACGAGAAAAGAAGAGGAGAGGAGATGAAACGAGACGAGACGAGAAAAGAAAAGGAGATTAAACGAGAAGAGGAGAGGAGATGAAACGAGACGAGAAAAGAAGAGGAGAAGAAACGAAAACAGGAGACGAGAAAAGAAGAGGAGAGGAGATGAAACGAAACGAGACGAGAAAAAAAAAGAAGAGGAGATGAAACGAGAAGGAGAGGAGATGAAATGAGAAGAGACGGGAAAAGAAGAGGAGATGAAATGAAAAGAGGAGATGAGATGAGAAAAGAAGAGGAGATGAAACGAGACGAGACGAGAAAAGAAGAGGAGATTAAACGAAAAGAGGAGAGGAGATGAAACGAGACGAGAAAAGAAGAGGAGATTAAACGAAAAGAGGAGAGGAGATGAAACGAGACGAGATGAGAAAAGAAGAGGAGATGAAACGAAAAGGAGAGGAGATGAAATGAGAAGAGACGGGAAAAGAAGAGGAGATGAAATGAGAAGAGACGGGAAAAGAAGAGGAGATGAAACAAGAAGAGGAGATGAAACGAGACGAGAAAAGAAGAGGAGATGAAACGAGAAGGAGAGGAGATGAAATGAGAAGAGACGGGAAAAGAAGAGGAGATGAAATGAAAAGAGGAGATGAGATGAGAAAAGAAGAGGAGATGAAACGAGACGAGACGAGAAAAGAAGAGGAGATTAAACGAAAAGAGGAGAGGAGATGAAACGAGACGAGATGAGAAAATAAGAGGAGATGAAACAAGAAGAGGAGATGAAACGAGACGAGAAAAGAAGAGGAGATGAAACGAAAAGGGGAGGAGATGAAATGAGAAGAGACGGGAAAAGAAGAGGAGATGAAACGAGAAGGAGAGGAGATGAAATGAGAAGAGACGGGAAAAGAAGAGGAGATTAAACGAGATGACACAGAAAAAAGAGGAGATGAAACGAGAAGGAGAGGAGATGAAATGAGAAGAGACGGGAAAAGAAGAGGAGATGAAACGAGATGACACAGAAAAAAGAGGAGATGAAATGAGAAGAGGAGAGGAGATGAAACAAGACGAGATGAGAAAAAAGGAGGAGATGAAACGAAAAGAGAAGAGGAGATGAAACAAGAATAGGAGAGGAGATGAAACGAGACGAGATGAGAAAAGAAGAGGAGATGAAATGAGAAGAGAAGAGGAGATGAGAAAAGAAAAGAAATGGAGACGAAACGAGAAGAGGAGAAGAAAAGAAGAGATGAAACAAGAATAGGAGAGGAGATGAAACGAGAAGAGGAGAAGAAAAGAAGAGATGAAACGATGAGACGAGAAAAGAAGAGAAGAAAAGGTGGAGATCAGACTAGACAGCAGAGAGACGAGAAGCTGATGGACAGCTGTGTGTCGTTCCTGGAAGCACATGCCAGTTAAACTGGACTGACCCTTTCAGATTGACCCTTCATTCTTTCAGTCTTTTTTCTGTCTTTGTTCCCCATTCCTTTCCTCTCTTCAGTTCTCGGTGCGCTCTCAGGGTTTGAAGTGTTTCTGGAGTGTGTCTGGACAGCACATGGTCTGTTTTTGATGTGTGTGTGTGTGTGTGTGTGTCTGGCCAACTGCTTAAGCCTCCTTTCCCCTGCTTCCCAGCATTCCCAGCCAGACCAGTTTCAGATCCTTAACTTAGTCATAACGGTCTTTATAAATCACCTCCCATCATTACCATTATCAGCATTCTGGAGCTCTTCACCTTTCTAGGGGTGATCCTGGATCAAACGGTTCATACTTCCCGTGTCTTTCTGTGAACCGCTGGGGCGTAGTCTATAATCAGCATATAAACCTTTTGACCGCTCACGCTACACTCACACGCACAAGCCCCATATGTGGAGCACACTTCACTCCACAAACCAAGTATGCACACACACCACACATGAAAAGGGGCTTTTAAAGTGACGCTGACATTACAGCTTGGGGGTTAAGGAGGAAAGACATCTAAGAATCACACCATTTCATTTTCTCTTTGCTCTGATGACTGAGGCAGTTCAAAGATGAGCTGAAATCTACTTCATCTTTGTGAAGTAGAGAATACAGGAAGCGTACTCTTTTTACCAACCTTCAGGGAAAGACTTCTTCAACTATTTTTAGATTTTCTGATGAAAATATGAGTACAGATTGTCAATGCAAGTAGCAATGCTAAGGTGTAGGGTTGCCACGCATTACTATTAACATTTAAAACCTCTATGGCTTTCTTTTATCAGTGGAATAATTTGAAAGTGCTGTGTTTCAATGTTTGACTGGCGTACAAACCATTAATCCTGCGCTCCATAAAGTTCTCCACAGCATTGGCAAGAAAAACAGAGAACGAAACACTTTAACCATCATGAAACATTACTAGCCCTATTAGCACGGGAACAGAGAATAGGACATTTTGTTTTTCCAGGTATTAGGCCTTTTTGATAGGGTGCAATGTAAGACCGCACAAGAGAACTTTGATTATTTCTTGACGCTTTGAGAAATCCTGAGAAAGTGAATAAATAGGCTACCACAACGCCACACATTCCTATATAATAGGTCATGACATATCTATGGCTTTCTTTCTTCAATGGG